TTAAACCAAACTCACTCACTCACTCCCTCACTCCCTCACTCCCTTCTTTCTTCCCTCACTCCATCACTCCCTTCTTTCTTCCCTCACTCCATCACTACCTTCTTTCTTCCCTCACTCCACTCCCTTTCTTCCCTCACTCCATCACTCCCTTCTTTCTTCCCTCATTCATCACTCCCTTCTTTCTTCCCTCACTCCATCACTCCCTTCTTTCTTCCCTCACTCCATCACTCCCTTTTTTTTTTCTTCACTCCATCACTCCCTTCTTCCTTCCCTCACTTTATCACTACTTGATTCCTTCCTTCCCTCACTCCATCACTCCCTTCTTTCTTCCCTCACTCCATCACTACCTTCTTTCTTCCCTCACTCCATCATTACTTAATTAATTCCTTCCTTCCCTCACTCCATCACTACCTTCTTTCTTCCCTCACTTCATCACTACTTGATTCCTTCCTTCCCTCACTCCATCACTCCCTTCTTTCTCCGTTCACGCCATCACTCCCTTCTTTCTTCCCTCACTCCATCATTACTTAATTAATTCCTTCCTTCCCTCACTCCATCACTACCTTCTTCCTTCCCTCACTCCATCACTACCTTCTTTCTTCCCTCACTCCATCACTACCTTTCTTCCCTCACTCCATCACTACCTTTCTTCCCTCACTCCATCACTACCTTCTTTCTTCCCTCACTTCATCACTCCCTTCTTTCTTCCCTCACTCCATCACTACCTTCTTTCTTCCCTCACTCCATCACTACCTTCTTTCTTCCCTCGCTCCATCACTCCCTTCTTTCTTCCCTCACTCCATCACTACCTAATTCCTTCCTTCCCTCACTCCATCACTACCTTCTTTCTTCCCTCACTCCATCACTACCTTCTTTCTTCCCTCACTCCATCACTACCTTCTTTCTTCCCTCGCTCCATCACTCCCTTCTTCCCTCACTCCATCACTACCTAATTCCTTCCTTCCCTCACTCCATCACTACCTTCTTTCTTCCCTCACTCCATCACTCCCTTCTTTCTTCCCTCACTCCATCACTACCTAATTCCTTTCTTCCCTCACTCCATCACTACCTTCTTTCTTCCCTCACTCCATCACTACCTAATTCCTTTCTTCCCTCACTCCATCACTACATTCTTTCTTCCCTCACTCCATCACTCCCTTCTTTCTTCCCTCACTCCATCACTACCTAATTCCTTCCTTCCCTCACTCTACCACTCCCTTCTTTCTTCCCTCACTCCATCACTACCTTCTTTCTTCCCTCACTTCATCACTACTTGATTCCTTCCTTCCCCACTCCATCACTACCTTCTTTGTTTCTTCTCTCACTCCATCACTACTTAATTCCTTCCTTCCCTCACTTGGTTAGTTAACAAAATTATATTCCTAATCCTGATTATGTCAGCCTTCCATGAGCAGTGAAGATGGAGGTCAAAGTGGCTAGATCTGAATAGTGTTGGATGTGATGTGATGAGGAAGGGCAGACACTATTGTGATCCATCATGGCTGCACTAAACCTGCATGCACTGCAAACCCCCATCCACTTGGTGCTATTTACCAACCACTTGGACATATTTTTTCTTCAAAGAACAATTCTAACACTAATGTTAAACAGAAAGTATTTATCAATAGTCTCTGCAGTAACATCACAAGTTTAGCATTTTTATCACTTTTTAAAGATTGAAAAAACCACAACATCCATTAATCATTTTTTTTTCCACAGTGTAGACTTGTTATGAATGGTTTCAAGGGAATAAGTTGTTTAGAACATGTGCTTTGCTTCTTTTAAATTGGTTTATACACAATGTAAATTCTTCAAAGATGAAATGGGTGATCATGTGTCTTCGACAGAAAACAGATTATCTATGGTAAATCAGTTTATGTCTTCTGTGATTAAGACACAAATTAGCAGCAACCAGCTGTGTTTCAAGTGAGAGCCTGGTCCAAGTCACTGAGTTCGTTTGTAATGAACGATGTGCCTGGCGTAGACAGTTGTAGGGGAAGCAGTTTATTACTGTTTCCTACTGATTCTCACATATAGACATTTTGGATTCTTGTTTAAAAATTCAAATCTGAGGATGCTAATGATTTGATAAATGAGATGAATACTGCTAATGTGTCTGAATATGGTACTGCTAATGTGTCTGAATATGGAACTGCTAATGTGTCTGAATATGGTACTGCTAATGTGTCTGAATATGGCACTGCTAATGTGTCTGAATATGGTACTGCTAATTGTGTCTAAAAATGGCACTGCTAATGTGTCTGAATATGGTACTGCTAATGTGTCTGTATATGGTACTGCTAATGTGTCATAATATGGTACTGCTAAAGTGTCTGAATATGGTACTGCTGATGTGTCTGAATATGGTACTGCTAATGTGTCTGATTATGGTACTGCTAATGGGTGTGAGTATGGTACTGCTAATGGGTCTGAATACTGCCAGGGATTTATTTAGACCTGCTCAGAGACCAATATTCAGTCCCAGGTGTGCAGCAAACAACAGTAAAAATTCACAGTAAGGATGTAGAATTTCCCAATTCCTCAAAATTTACAAAAATACGAACATTAAAAAAAGGCAAAGTTTGAACATTCTCACAATATATTCCCAATTTTCCTACCAAGGGCACTTAGTTTGGGAATCCTAGATATATCCCTGACTGCTAATAGCAACTAACATTATCAATCGGCGCCGAATATAGTTGCAGGAACTCTATTCAAATTATTGTGCAGGTATTGCTGTCAAACCTCAAAACCATTTTGTAGAGTTTCAGGAACTTTCTGGTAAAATATTCCATACATATTTGATACAGAAGAAAACTTGACACTGAAAGCATATGGGTAAAAAGCTGCAAGACATTACTCACACTTCAAAAACTATTGAAAATGTTTTGATGTAAAAAACTTCTTGATCAGTTTTAGGAAGTTAAGTCATAATGAGCACCGAGAGCAATTTACACGTATTTGATGATAATACACGCCGGTGGTATTAATGGCTTGTCAAGTCAATGGCACTAATTTCCTTTCCACAGCCTCCCGGATTCATCCGTGATTACTTTGTGTTTCTAAACATCAGGATAGCTCTTGTAGAGATATTTTCTTGGGGTAGTGCGAACAGGCATTGTCAGTATCGCTGCCTCTGTGGAAGCAACCACGATCAAATGTATTTTCCAGTTCAGTTGATGCCATGCAGTGTAAGTGTTTTTTAGATTTTTCTGCAACTTTTGGAATTTGTACTTTTTTTGGTAAAGATTTGATGTTTTGTGGTGCTTAGGATGATATGTTTATAAAGTTTATAAAAATTTACCTTTATCAGTTCTTAAACTGTTTTATGCCTGTTATAAACATGTATTAAAGATATGAACATTTATTTGATTTCCGAACATATTTGAAAATATTGATTAGTTTGTGTGTGTAGTTAATAGATAAACTTGCCTTAAATGCATTTCATATTGTACATGTGAGCATATAAATTCATTCCTCTAGCTTGAACATATTTTCCTATGAGTATAGTTAATCTCACTCTTGGTTATTGCAACACTTATTCTTCCAACTGTGGGCGTTCTTTAATTATCCCCCGCCGCGCGAAAGCGCGAAGCGGGGGATATAGTATTCACGACCGTCCGTACGTCCGTCCGTCCGTCCGTCCGTACGTCCCACCTGTTTGTTGCCGCGATATCTCAAGAACTAAACACTGGATTGTCTTCATATTTGGAACTATGGTGTATATACAGACTCCGCAGACACCAGTCGGTTTTGGTGACCTTGATCCCATTTTCAAGGTCACAGCAGACAAATCTGCTTTTAGAGTTGGTAAACGGTGTTGCCGCGATATCTCAAGAACTAAACACTGGATTGTCTTCATATTTGGAACTATGGTGTATATACAGACTCCGCAGACACCAGTCGGTTTTGGTGACCTTGATCCCATTTTCAAGGTCACAGCAGACAAATCTGCTTTTAGAGTTGGAAAACGGTGTTGCCGCGATATCTCAAGAACTAATCGCTGGATTGTCTTCATATTTGGTACTATGGTGTATATGGCGGGGGATATTTCGTCACTCTGTGACAAATACTTGTTTGCTTTGAGTTGTATACATACTCACATCACGATGGAATATTTTCACCAATTCCAATTGATTTATTCTGTAGCTCAAGCTAGCAAGTTGCTTTTCATATTAATTGAATCCTCGCATTTCCCATGGAAAATCTAAACCAATTAAAATGTCCTATTGGAGTTTTATTGTTGAGTACTTTCTTCTAATTCTATTAGCTTAAGGCGCCAATAGAAGATCTGATGACATTACTCTGTCCACGATACCCATCAATGATAATACCCATTTCTTCTTTTCTTCCATGGTGCCTGAAAATCTCAGATTTTCCAAGAATTGTGGGCTCCGTATTTCCTGTGGTGGACTGAGGTGTTCGAAGGATGCCATTAAAACTTGGTCAATTTGAGAGGTTGTCAATTGTGGTAATAACAAAGGAATCAATTCTCAGAAAGTTATGGGCCAATTTATGATCAAGGTTTTTTTAGCTAAATATATTTTTCAGTTCCTACGGTGTAAAAAAAGATCAGTTATCAGGAGTCACAGATGTGAAGAATTATGGATTTTCTCTAATTCTTAGAGATGTGGGTTGGAATCCTGGTTCATTCACCCCCATTATGTTTCTCGTCTTAGGCTTGTCAGCACCATACCCGTTCTCGTCACCAAAGTGGTAAACCTGGAGACCTGGATCGCTTCGGGCTTTCCTCCCACATTAAGCTGACACGCCGTGATGTAACTGGGGTACTGTAAAAGTGGTGTTCAACCCAACTCACTCACTCACTGTTATTTACTGTAATCTCATGTTAAAAGATGGTAAGCATTGGTGGTGTTACTATTCAATCGGTGGATGACTCAACTTTTGGATTGCTTACAAATGTTTTTTCATGTTTGCAATGGAAAAATATCAAAATAAACATGGTAATAAAAATTTCAAAATATCTTTTTGAAATGGAAATGTCAGTTGAGTCAATAGTCTTTGTATCTGGTACATGGTTCCTAGTAGGGCATGCACGAGGCTGTTTCCAGTGTGTCATCCAGGCCATTGCCCTCCGACACTTCCTTGTTGTGGGGACGGATGAGATGAGGGAGATTCAGCTGCTACCAGGGAGGAGAGGAGGTGGAGAGTTGTTATCTGTTCAGGGAGCACGGAGGCATGTGGACTCCCACCTGGGGGACTATCTATGTTGTATCAACAGGCTCGCCTATCTGGGAGTACAGGCCATAAAGATAGGGCTGCAGCCTCTGGAATGTACATGAAGGGTGTTCCTTTATAAAGTCATCTTACTCCTCGCTACTGTGAGAAAAATAACACCTAGTGCAGTTTGGTATGTTGATTGTTGGAGCCTTGCTATGCCTTAGTATTTGTAAAGAAAAAATTTCTGTTTTGTCTATGTACTGAAGTTAGTTGTAAATACTTTATTCATTTTAGTGCAATAATTAGTGCAGTCTCTCCCAATCTTAGTTCAAACATAATTTCAGGTTCTTCTAATCTTGGTATTACGCCGAAGGCAGTTTCTCCTAATCTTGGTATTACACCCAAGGCAGTTTCTCCTAATCTTGGGGTTATAAACATTGCAGTTTCTCCTAATCTTGGGGTTATAGACATTGTAGTTTCACCTAATCTTGGGTTTATAAACACTGCCGTTTCTCCTAATCTTGGTGTTATAAACACTGCAGTTTCTCCTAATCTTGGGGTTATAGACATTGTAGTTTCACCTAATCTTGGGTTTATAAACACTGCAGTTTCTCCTAATCTTGGTGTTATAAACACTGCAGTTTCTCCTAATCTTGGGGTTATAAACACTGCAGTTTCTCCTAATCTTGGGGTTATAGACATTGCAGTTTCTCCTAATCTTGGTGTTATAGACATTGCAGTTTCTCCTAATCTTGGGGTTATAGACATTGCAGTTTCTCCTAATCTTGGTGTTATAGACATTGTAGTTTCACCTAATCTTGGTGTTATAGACACTGCAGTTTCTCATAATCTTGGTGTTATAGACATTGCAGTTTCTCCTAATCTTGGGGTTATAGACATTGCAGTTTCTCCTAATCTTGGGGTTATAGACATTGCAGTTTCTCCTAATGTTGGTGTTACAGACACTGCAGTTTCTCCTAATCTTGGGGTTATAGACACTGCAGTTTCTCCTAATCTTGGTGTTATAAACATTGCAGTTTCTCCTAATCTTGGTGTTATAGACATTGCAGTTTCTCCTAATCTTGGGGTTATAAACATTGCAGTTTCTCCTAATCCTGCTGTTATAAACACTGCAGTTTCTCCTAATCTTGGGGTTATAGACATTGCAGTTTCTCCTAATCTTGGGGTTATAGACACTGCAGTTTCTCCTAATCTTGTTGTTATAGACATTGCAGTTTCTCCTAATCTTGGGGTTATAGACATTGCAGTTTCTCCTAATCTTGGGGTTATAGACATTGCAGTTTCACCTAATCTTGGTGTTATAAACATTGCAGTTTCTCCTAATCTTGGGGTTATAGACACTGCAGTTTCTCATAATCTTGGTGTTATAGACATTGCAGTTTCTCCTAATCTTGGGGTTATAGACATTGCAGTTTCTCCTAATCTTGGGGTTATAGACATTGCAGTTTCTCCTAATGTTGGTGTTACAGACACTGCAGTTTCTCCTAATCTTGGGGTTATAGACACTGCAGTTTCTCCTAATCTTGGTGTTATAAACATTGCAGTTTCTCCTAATCTTGGTGTTATAGACATTGCAGTTTCTCCTAATCTTGGGGTTATAAACATTGCAGTTTCTCCTAATCCTGCTGTTATAAACACTGCAGTTTCTCCTAATCTTGGGGTTATAGACATTGCAGTTTCTCCTAATCTTGGGGTTATAGACACTGCAGTTTCTCCTAATCTTGTTGTTATAGACATTGCAGTTTCTCCTAATCTTGGGGTTATAGACATTGCAGTTTCTCCTAATCTTGGGGTTATAGACATTGCAGTTTCACCTAATCTTGGTGTTATAAACATTGCAGTTTCTCCTAATCTTGGGGTTATAGACACTGCAGTTTTATCCTAATCTTGGTGTTATAAACACTGCAGTTTCTCCTTATCTAGGGGTTATAGACATTGCAGTTTCTCCTAATCTTGGGGTTATAGACATTGCAGTTTCTCCTAATCTTGGGGTTATAGACACTGCAGTTTCTCCTAATCTTGGTGTTATAGACATTGCAGTTTCTCCTAATCTTGGGGTTATAGACATTGCAGTTTCTCCTAATCTTGGTGTTATAGACATTGCAGTTTCTCCTAATCTTGGGGTTATAGACACTGCAGTTTCACCTAATCTTGGGGTTATAAACACTGCACGCATGCATGCCATTTACATCATAGTGTACTATGGAAGGAGCTTGCATCCAGTGTTCGTGCTGACATTATGCCAATATATGCACCCTTAAGTGTTGGTATCATTACCACGATAATTAGACATGAGACAGAAATAGATAGTGGTGACTGATAGATTACAGCCACTGTAGTGGAGGAATGTGAGAGATGCAAAGCCTGTGTGTGAGTACAAGTGTGACTCCAAGCCTGTGTGTGAGTACAAGTGTGACTCCAGGCCTGTGTGAGTACAAGTGTGACTCCAAGCCTGTGTGAGTACAAGTGTGACTCCAAGCCTGTGTGTGAGTACAAGTGTGTCTCCAAGCCTGTGTGTGAGTACATGTGTGTCTCCAAGCCTGTGTGTGAGTACAAGTGTGTCTCCAAGCCTGTGTGTGAGTACAAGTGTGTCTCCAAGCCTGTGTGTGAGTACAAGTGTGATTCCAAGTCTGTGTGAGTACAAGTGTGTCTCCAAGCCTGTGTGTGAGTACATGTGTGATTCCAAGCCTGTGTGTGAGTACAAGTGTGATTCCAAGTCTGTGTGTGAGTACATGTGTGTCTCCAAGCCTGTGTGTGAGTACATGTGTGTCTCCAAGCCTGTGTGTGAGTACAAGTGTGATTCCAAGTCTGTGTGAGTACAAGTGTGTCTCCAAGCCTGTGTGTGAGTACATGTGTGATTCCAAGCCTGTGTGTGAGTACAAGTGTGATTCCAAGTCTGTGTGAGTACAAGTGTGTCTCCAAGCCTGTGTGTGAGTACAAGTGTGATTCCAAGTCTGTGTGAGTACAAGTGTGTCTCCAAGCCTGTGTGTGAGTACAAGTGTGTCTCCAAGCCTGTGTGTGAGTACAAGTGTGATTCCAAGTCTGTGTGAGTACAAGTGTGTCTCCAAGCCTGTGTGTGAGTACATGTGTGATTCCAAGCCTGTGTGTGAGTACAAGTGTGATTCCAAGTCTGTGTGAGTACAAGTGTGTCTCCAAGCCTGTGTGTGAGTACATGTGTGATTCCAAGCCTGTGTGTGAGTACAAGTGTGATTCCAAGTCTGTGTGAGTACAAGTGTGTCTCCAAGCCTGTGTGTGAGTACAAGTGTGATTCCAAGTCTGTGTGAGTACAAGTGTGTCTCCAAGCCTGTGTGTGAGTACATGTGTGATTCCAAGCCTGTGTGTGAGTACAAGTGTGATTCCAAGTCTGTGTGAGTACAAGTGTGACTCCAAGCCTGTGTGTGAGTACAAGTGTGTCTCCAAGCCTGTGTGTGAGTACAAGTGTGACTCCAGGCCTGTGTGAGTACAAGTGTGACTCCAAGCCTGTGTGTGAGTACATGTGTGATTCCAAGTCTGTGTGTGAGTACAAGTGTGTCTCCAAGGCTGTGTGAGTACAAGTGTGATTCCAAGCCTGTGTGTGTATACACATGTGATTCGAAGTCTGTGTGTGAGTACAAGTGTGATTCCAAGTCTGTGTGTGAGTACAAGTGTGATTCCAAGTCTGTGTGTGAGTACAAGTGTGTCTCCAAGCCTGTGTGAGTACAAGTGTGACTCCAAGCCTGTGTGTGTATACACATGTGATTCGAAGTCTGTGTGTGAGTACAAGTGTGATTCGAAGTCTGTGTGAGTACAAGTGTGTCTCCAAGCCTGTGTGAGTACAAGTGTGACTCCAAGCCTGTGTGTGTATACACATGTGATTCGAAGTCTGTGTGTGAGTACAAGTGTGATTCGAAGTCTGTGTGAGTACAAGTGTGTCTCCAAGCCTGTGTGAGTACAAGTGTGACTCCAAGCCTGTGTGTGTATACACATGTGATTCGAAGTCTGTGTGTGAGTACAAGTGTGACTCCAAGTCTGTGTGTGAGTACAAGTGTGATTCCAAGTCTGTGTGTGAGTACAAGTGTGATTCCAAGCCTGTGTGTGAATACAAGTGTGACTCCAAGTCTGTGTGTGAGTACAAGTGTGATTCCAAGCCTGTGTGTGAGTACATGTGTGATTCCAAGTCTGTGTGTGAGTACAAGTGTGATTCCAAGTCTGTGTGTGAGTACAAGTGTGACTCCAAGCCTGTGTGTGTATACACATGTGATTCGAAGTCTGTGTGTGAGTACAAGTGTGATTCCAAGCCTGTGTGTGAGTACAAGTGTGATTCCAAGCCTGTGTGTGAGTACAAGTGTGATTCCAAGCCTGTGTGTGAGTACATGTGTGATTCCAAGTCTGTGTGTGAGTACAAGTGTGATTCCAAGTCTGTGTGTGAATACAAGTGTGACTCCAAGCCTGTGTGTGAGTACAAGTGTGATTCCAAGCCTGTGTGTGAGTACATGTGTGATTCCAAGTCTGTGTGTGAGTACAAGTGTGATTCCAAGTCTGTGTGTGAATACAAGTGTGACTCCAAGCCTGTGTGTGAGTACATGTGTGATTCCAAGCCTGTGTGTGAGTACATGTGTGATTCGAAGTCTTTGTGTGAGTACAAGTGTGACTCCAAGCCTGTGTGTGAATACAAGTGTGACTCCAAGCCTGTGTGTGTATACACATGTGATTCCAAGCCTGTGTGTGTATACAAGTGTGATTCCAAGCCTGTGTGTAAATACATGTGTGATTCAAAGCCTGTGTGTGAGTACATGTGTGATTCGAAGTCTTTGTGTGAGTACAAGTGTGACTCCAAGCCTGTGTGTGAATACAAGTGTGACTCCAAGCCTGTGTGTGTATACACATGTGATTCCAAGCCTGTGTGTGTATACAAGTGTGATTCCAAGCCTGTGTGTGAGTACATGTGTGATTCCAAGCCTGTGTGTGAGTACATGTGTGATTCGAAGTCTTTGTGTGAGTACAAGTGTGACTCCAAGCCTGTGTGTGAATACAAGTGTGACTCCAAGCCTGTGTGTGTATACACATGTGATTCCAAGCCTGTGTGTGTATACAAGTGTGATTCCAAGCCTGTGTGTAAATACATGTGTGATTCAAAGCCTGTGTGTGAGTACATGTGTGATTCGAAGTCTTTGTGTGAGTACAAGTGTGACTCCAAGCCTGTGTGTGAATACAAGTGTGACTCCAAGCCTGTGTGTGTATACACATGTGATTCCAAGCCTGTGTGTGAATACAAGTGTGACTCCAAGCCTGTGTGTAAATACATGTGTGATTCGAAGTCTTTGTGTGAGTACAAGTGTGATTCCAAGCCTGTGTGTGTATACAAGTGTGATTCCAAGCCTGTGTGTGTATACAAGTGTGATTCCAAGCCTGTGTGTGTATACAAGTGTGATTCCAAGCCTGTGTGTAAATACATGTGTGATTCAAAGCCTGTGTGTGAGTACATGTGTGATTCGAAGTCTTTGTGTGAGTACAAGTGTGACTCCAAGCCTGTGTGTGAATACAAGTGTGACTCCAAGCCTGTGTGTGTATACACATGTGATTCCAAGCCTGTGTGTGTATACAAGTGTGATTCCAAGCCTGTGTGTAAATACATGTGTGATTCAAAGCCTGTGTGTGTATACAAGTGTGATTCCAAGCCTGTGTGTGTATACAAGTGTGATTCCAAGCCTGTGTGTAAATACATGTGTGATTCAAAGCCTGTGTGTGAGTACATGTGTGATTCGAAGTCTTTGTGTGAGTACAAGTGTGACTCCAAGCCTGTGTGTGAATACAAGTGTGACTCCAAGCCTGTGTGTGTATACACATGTGATTCCAAGCCTGTGTGTGAATACAAGTGTGACTCCAAGCCTGTGTGTGAGTACAAGTGTGACTCCAAGCCTGTGTGTGTATACAAGTGTGATTCCAAGCCTGTGTGTAAATACATGTGTGATTCAAAGCCTGTGTGTGAGTACATGTGTGATTCGAAGTCTTTGTGTGAGTACAAGTGTGACTCCAAGCCTGTGTGTGAATACAAGTGTGACTCCAAGCCTGTGTGTGTATACACATGTGATTCCAAGCCTGTGTGTGTATACAAGTGTGATTCCAAGCCTGTGTGTAAATACATGTGTGATTCAAAGCCTGTGTGTGTATACAAGTGTGATTCCAAGCCTGTGTGTGTATACAAGTGTGATTCCAAGCCTGTGTGTAAATACATGTGTGATTCAAAGCCTGTGTGTGAGTACATGTGTGATTCGAAGTCTTTGTGTGAGTACAAGTGTGACTCCAAGCCTGTGTGTGAATACAAGTGTGACTCCAAGCCTGTGTGTGTATACACATGTGATTCGAAGTCTGTGTGTGTATACACATGTGATTCCAAGCCTGTGTGTGAATACAAGTGTGATTCCAAGCCTGTGTGTAAATACATGTGTGATTCAAAGCCATTGACATTGCTATACAATTACAAGTGCAATAATCTTGGAACATGACATTAATCCCTGTCTCACCACTTTTCTGTCAATCAGTCTGATGGGAAAAATACTAACCTCTAGCGGCTTTAAGTATTTTTATAGAAGCAAGGACAATGTGATGTCTTGAATGAACGTGAATGAAAATGTGATCTCAGTCAGGTGGTGGAAATTTATGTGCTTACTAACTCTGGACATGACATTGGCTTAATGGCTGTGAGTGTTTCAAACGACAGAGTTTCTAACATTTTACCAGATTCTTGCTTTGGCCTAGTGGCTGCATCTAAAATTTGTCTTTTACAGTTGCTGTAGAAAAAGAAAAATGAAACCTATTGGCTTTGGATTTGGTAAATGGTTATGTAACCCATGTTCTGGTGAAATGTCTGTCAGTTTGTTTGGAAGCAGAAATCAAAATAGCTGTGAAAGAAGAAAACATGAAAAACCCAACATTGTTCAGAATATGAATGTTTTATCTGACCTGAAGTAGGGACTTGTTGGTGTTAGTGTAAGTACTTATTTCATGAAATTCTTTCAGCCATTTCCCTTCTTCTGTTCCACCATTGATGGATACAGAGACATGTTTATGTGGAAATTTATCCAATGAAGTAGGAATTACATTTTATTAAGTTTAGACATTTGAAAAAATGATTAATGGGTAGGATTTTTTGGCTAAAGAATCCATTTATCCGTCTTATCTGGGAGTAAGGAAGAGCATCAGAATGATGAATGAGACTTGATAGATGCTGTATTGAAAAAATGATGAATAAAGTCATTTTGTTCTTTACATTGAGAAAAGATAGTGACTTCGTTGAGATTTTTCAGGAAAGTTTGAATCCTGTGACACTGACAAATGGATATATTTTTCTCATAAGATGTAACTAGATTAAACTGCTCTCATGCCATGTTGACTCTAGTCACTGGAGTGGGAACCCTTGTCAAACATTTTGATAATTCATCTGTGAGGAAATCATATGGAAATATATTGAGCGGTTATGATGACCTTGTGTTTTGTTGGGATACTTGAGCTGGTGTAATAGTAGCAACGGAATACAAATTTCACTGAATAAATTTTATGTTTATTTCTGTCCTCTTACTATAAATATTTATCTCAGGATAATCATGTGGTATGTGTCAACCAAAATTCTTAAGTTCCATCTGAATAGGTCCCTAGTGTCTCATACTGATTGTCCCATGAGGATCTGGGTTAGAATTGTTCTTCAGCAACCCATGCTTGTTGGAAGAGGCGACTAACAGGATCAGGTGGTCAGGCTCGCTGACTTAGTTGACTGTGACCCATTTGCGTAGATCAATGCTCATGATGTAATCACTGGATTGTCTGATCCAGACTCGATTATTTACAAACCTCCGTCACATAGCTGTTATATTGCTGAGTGTGGCATCAAACAACAAACAAACTAAAACAATCATGCTTATTCACGAGCAGATTTAATCTGGTTCTGATGGTGGCAGTGTCATCATAACCTGACATCAATTGTTGCTCATTCCATCAACCACTGGTTCGTCTGATCAAGACTTGACTACTGAGGATATGGTGGTTAAATACAGTGTGAGACCTGGCTAATATCCTTAATTTCTTCATCTCACACTCCCCCCCATCTTTAGTTGACCTGGCTTAGAAAAGGTCTAAACACCACATTGCTTGTTGTAAGAATCTACCATATTTGAGAGGCGGTTGGGTAGCCTAGTGGTTAAAGCGTTCGCTCGTCACGCCGAAGACCCAGGTTCGATTCCCATCATTGGTACAATGTGTGAAGCCCATTTCCGGTGTCCCCCGCCGTGATATTGCTGGGATATTGCTAAAAGCAGCATAAAACAATACTCACTCACTCACTCACTCACTCACTCACTCACTCACTCACTCACTCACTCGCTCACTCTGGTGTCCTCCGCTGTGATATTGCTGGAATATTGCTAAAAGCAGCGTAAAACCATACTCACTCACTCACTACCATATTTGATCGGGTAGTCAGATGTATTTGATCAACAACTGGTTTGTCTGGTCCGGACTCAATTACATCCACATTGCCGAGATGAAGCTGTAATATTGCTGATTGCTGTTTAAGAACAACATTCCCCCTCTTCATCCCATTCATCAGGTAGTTCTAGCCATACAAGAATAATCAAGCCAGATGCTAAACATGCTGAAGCTATTTCCACAACTTTACACAGACATGGCATATCACGATGTAGGTGTTGGGCCCAGTTAACATCAAAAGTTGTGATGTCATACCCCGAAAGCTACACACAGGCTTAGTACGATGCTAAGATGGTGTGACAAGTTTTTCATAAGGGTCATATGTGTATTTTAGTTTCAGCAATAGGGACAGATGTGTATTGTAGTTTTGGCTCAAGGGAGGTAATTCTGTTCAGACTTCATCAGACTGGCAATTAGAAAATTTCCCTGTTGAATCCTGATTAAATTAAATGTGAATTATTGAATGAAGACACACTTAAACTATCATGGATTTATTCGTTTTTTTAAAAGTCTTGGACCACATGTCTATTGGACATTTATTTTGCACCCCCAAAGCTATTGTTATAAATATAAAAGGTGAAATGAGATATCATAAGTGAATTCGAAGTAGTTTTGTATAGATGTGTATAATTGTGTTAAGACAACAGAACATAGTCTATGATTCAATTAAGAGCCTATTGATTTAAAGAGACACCTAAAAGGTCATGAATGTGATCATTCTTTGTCCAAGTCAAGGACATATTGTCTATTGGGTATTCATGTATGGACTCTTAATAGCTATTGCAATAATATGAAAGATGAAATTAAATAACCAGTCACTAGTGGTTTCGAAATAGTTTTATAAACCTGTATAATTTTGTTAAGGTAAATCAAACACTACCAGCATTCCTCAGCAATGAAGGGATAGCTGGTTAGTTACAGTGAGTGAGTGAGTGAGTTGGGTTTAACGCCGCTTTTAACAGTATTCAAGTTATATCACGGCGTGTCAGCTTAATTTGGGAGGAAAGCCCGAAGTGATGCAGGTCTAAGATGTTTACCACTTCGGTGAAACCAACGAGCGCGGGTATGGTGCTGACAAACCTAAAAACATAATTGGGACCCACAATCATAGGTTTCTGGCGTGCTCAAGGGACGCAACTCTGCCAAGCGAATCGCGGCGCCCTAGACGACTGGGCCACCTGTGCCCCCTGGTTAGTTACAGAGCCATGTGTTCTGAATATTTATGTTCAGCCTGTTTATAAGGAAGTAGGCCAGAATGACAGTACACTCCGGCTCCAGCTGGCATAATGCCAATTTCTACACCAATACTTCTCACCTAGAGTATAGGTAAAGTCAGTCAAGAGTTCAAGTTCAATTTAGTTAATTTGCCTTGACTGTGTGTAACGCTGTCTCACGCATGGCCAATTGACATCTTCCTACATCTTGTCACGATTTGGGTATCATGTTTATGGGCTGAACAAGTATGATTGAATACTAGTCAATGGTTTACGCTCTAGAATAATAAACAATTTTAACTACTGAAGTTTCGTCATGAGCTTGTGATCAGGATGTTTATGAAATATGAAAAAATGTAATTCAATATAAAGTCACGATGATCTTATTTGTTTTGTGGGTTTACGCTCCTAGAATGATAAACAATTTTAACTCCTGAAGTTTCGTCATGAGCTTGTGATCATGATTTTTATGTAATATGAAAAAATGTAATTCAATACAAAGTCACGACGATCTTATTTGTTTTGTTTGCGGTTGTTTGTTTGAACAGTTGAGGGGACATTTTTTGAAGGAATGTAGGGTCTTCATGTTTAAACATTGCTTTTTAGCCCTTATATGTTGTAAGACTCTGAAATTTAAGATGACCCAGGTTTTTTTAAGTCAAGATGTCAGGCATTTAGTTCTGGGGTCTACAAGGAAAGTTTGTGTACGTAAAATGTATAGTTTAATGTTTTATGGAAATTGATGCTTTTTATGAAAGTAATCAAATTAACCAGAAGGAAACTTGTTAATTTTATATCCTAGTTCAGGATTTGTTGCATCTGTCAAGTGTCTTCGAATTGTCGCCTGCCATCAAATTTATTGATTAAGTATAGTGAGTTCCGTCACACCTGCCCAGTGGTACATTTCATTCTCATGACATGGCAGCTTCAGAGGTAGTTCGGGACTTTGAGAAGGGGTGAGTGTCACTTTCGGAATATGTGAGAGGGCAATGTGGCCTGTTATGCAGATTTGTTTGTTTGTTAGTTTGTTAGTTTGTTTGTTGTTTAATGCTTCACTCAGCTATATGACAGCGATTTGTAAATATTCGACTCTGGACCAGACAATCCAGTGATTGACATTATGAGCATCAATCTACATGATTGGGATACGATGACATGCATCAACCAAGTCAGCAAGCCTGACAACCCGGTCCCATTTGTAGCCTCTTACGACAAGCAGAGTCACCTCTTATGGCATGCATGGGTTTCTGAAGACCTACCCTTCCCCGGATCTTCACGGGGTGTTATGTCATAGCGACTGATTTACAACACCCATTGTCTGAAGAACATTTGATTGCAAAGGCTCATTACCCTGGAGCCATGACATCTATATGCCTTGAAACACTTAATTGCTGTTATTTATAAGATGCTAATCCTAATTGTTAATCCCCATTTTTGTGAACATCGACCGTCTGCCATCCTGAACGAGATGTGCAAGTATGTCACTGATGAATTACTGTTTACATTTATATTTATTACTTACTAAATGTCAGGTGACCTTGGCTATATAAGCCTTGGTCCAGAGAGATACCATACCCAGCTCCCTTAGTTCTCCTCCCCAATCCCATCGGCATCTATTCCAAATCTCAAAATTCCCAAATTCTATATAAGCAACCCCTAAAACCCCCCTCTTGGGTTGCACAGACCACTTTCGCCCCTTTCGGAAACACATTAAATGGCCTGGCCGGGCCCGTGTGCGAAATACGCATCAGTCGGAAAGCGCACGTTAAATCTCCAAAGTAAGTAAGTAAGTAAGAGATTGAAGGAAAAAAGAAAGGTCTTACCCTTAGCCTAGCTAGGGTTTGGCTGGGTGCTCTGGGGCACCTAGACAACAACCACTACCACTATGTGCTGACCTGGCACATAGTATCTTTTGTATGTATATATCTACATGTATAAAGTAAAACTGTGTATACCGCAAGCCATCGTCTCCAAGTTGTCTCTTCCTACTGAGAACCATACGTCGGCCCCTTGGATATACGAGTATGCAAATTATTCATTAATCTTCATGCAGACCAACACGCGTTGTTAGTTATACAGGTTGTAGATGTAGCACTTAGCTGTCTTCATGTTGCTGCTCTAATAGGAAGTTTAAACATAGAAAACTGGCAACAGTGAACATTTTGGAGACTGTAATTAATCACTACTGTCATATTTAGCACATGCTGCTCAATAGGGAACTTTATTCTAGCTAATCAAACTGTTGTTTTGTAGAGAAAATTTGGTTCCGTGTGTGTATAAGTTCGTGTCGCGTCAAGTTTGGGTTCCTATCACACTGAAATTTGTTCCGGTCACACAGGAACTTTCACACACATTCTAACTTGTGAAACTGTCAAGTGTCTAAAAGAGGGATTTTTTTATGGAGCTATATTGAAAACAGGGCTTGGTTATTGAGGGTGTAGGGAAAGAAAGAATACATGAATTATAACCATGGAACAAATACTTGCAATATATTTGTTCTGGTTGGAACAAATGCTCTATTTGACATTTACATTTTTTTTAAAAACAGCAAATTCTGTAAAGAAATGTATTTTTATTATATCTCTGTTATCATGGTAAAAATATTCTCATTTTATGTTAACTCTTTAGTATACTTCATCTCGACAGTCGTAGTATTCACTGGTGACTTTGTTTTAGATTATGTTTACTTTTATTGCGATTGTATATCTTAGTTTCCATGTTTTCAATGTTGCACATTACCAAAATACAGGAACATCGCTCATAAACGCACCCAAACATTTGTTCCTGTCAAGCAGATCTTTTCACTACAGGGTCTGAACATTTTCACTGCAATTTTATGTATTTTAATCTGAACTAAATTTGGGCAGAACAAAATATGCTTCCAGTTTGACTAAGGATTTTATGAATATATTTCCTGAGAACCCTAAAACTGTAATCCTAGTGATTCGATAAATAAGCATCGCCATCCTTCCTGTAACACCATCCTTCCTGGCATAGTGAGAAGGGTTCTTCACAAAGTGTGAACAGTCCTTGTTTGTTATATGGAACATGTATTCAGAACTCTTCTCTGTGCCAGCAGTGTATTGTCAAGACACTGATACAAATCTGTAGCTGTATCGGAACCAAAAACAGACATAATCATTTCTTCATTAAACATTTTTTTTTAATAGGCTTCAAAGAGTTGATAGGAGCAGTATACTTCTTTGGGTTTATTCAGTGGTAAAAAAATCAGTTGAGGGCAAAGAGAAATAATGTAAACATTCATGGTAGGGCCGGGACGGGTAACTCGGGTACTCTGTAGGTACTGAGTAGGACCTGGGTACCCACAGGACTACATGGACCCGTGGTTAAGTCACGTGATATATTGTTTGAAGAAAAAAAATATCTGGAACTCCTTGGTTGCACTACAAGTTATAAATGTTCATATTTCTTTATGACTATGCAGGCATTCATTCTGACTTTTATATGTTTGAATAATGATAAAGCTTCAGTCAACTTGTCCCAGCCCTAATTCATGGCACCTATGTATATACCAACTACAGCTATGATGAATGTAACTAAAGGACAAGGGCAGAGATCACCATTTAATTTTGTCCCTGTGCTGTTTAAGGATTCTATTATATATACATTATAGCATTTGCTGGTTGTTAAACATATTACCCACACACATGACCCAATTCGTGGAAGAATATACTTCACACCAGGAAGTGAGGGGGAGATTCTGGACAGAGTGATTTCCCTTGACTTGACCCATACTTCCTGTTATCCTGCTGTCACTCTCCTCCCTCCAACAGATCCCCCTTCCTCCCATCTCTCTCCCCCCTCCCTCCCACTTCATCATCATGTAATGCATCCTTAATGAAGTTGTGGGGCTTGCAGGAAGGATAATGTATTCATTAACTCAGTGTTTTCCAGATCAACCAATTGCTTGGAAGGCAGGTTGATGAGGCTGGTCTTGACATGTGTCCTAATTGGAAGGGGCCAAAACAGGAGATGCTTTCAAACCTTACCATATCTGTCAAATCAATATGAATATATATAAAATATGTGTAAGATGTTCTTGTTTTGTTTTTTTACATTTTTTTACCTACCATATTCGACGTAATAAGCGCCCCGCTCTAATAAGCACTCACGGCGATATTTGCTAATATATTGGCAAGTGAACAATCCCAATTAGCACTCCTTCCGATTGATCAATGTACACAAGACTTATTTATTCGTGTATCATATGCACTCATGTGTTATATGCACCCTTAATTATGGGCAATTAAATTCTGGAAAAATATATCTGTCGTATATAAACAGTTCAGGCCGTCAGCATAAACCACGAAATGTATCTTTCAACTCTGTTTTTTTCCACCAAAATAATATTCCAATAAGTGCCCCCTATTTCTAATTTTGAGAGTGGCCTGGGCGCTTATTACGTTGAATACGGTATTTATAGTCACATTACAATAACCATGGTTCCACATAATCCCCTACAGTCCACATGGTTAAGTGGTACAGGATCATACACTAAGGTTTAGATTTGTTGTTGTATTTATTCAACATAAGGTGGATATGAGGGGAAGAGTTGTGCAAGGAAGGGGGACGATGTGAATTTAAGTACTAGGCGATGTCAGAAGATATTGGGTTTAACGTTACTTCCAAGATTATTGCACATATATAGAGACGTGTGCGTGTGCGTGTGCGTGTGCGTGTGTGTGTTTGTGTTTGTGTGTGCTCACTGAGATACCATGAAGCAGTTTAACAGTATACTGACTCCCAGCCGACCAGTCCTTGTTTTAGCCCTTGCCGAGCGCCAGACAGGGTAACAACAAGTACCATCTTTGAATGTCTTTTGGTATGATGCGGCCGGGGATCGAACCCCGGACCTTCCGCTCTCCGGGCGGACGCTCTACCACTAAGTAATGGAGGTTACTCAGGTTAAGAATTAAACACTTTCCTTTAAACTTATCACTGAAATATGTAGATACCTCTCTTTGTCATAGTAATATCTTATCAAATGCAGGTCATGATTAAAGTTAGGAATATTATTCTTATAACATCATCTGTAAACATATGTTTTCAAAATTTTGAAAAGATTCACATGTTGGGGTCTTCAAGTACAAATGACACTTTCACTGAGGTGTGAGGTCTTAGCAGTTCTTTCTTCATACCACTAAAGGAATTGTGCTGATATTCAAATGTAAAGGAGGCAAGATACTTTGAAAGAATTCAGTAGTCATCTGTTGCTTTGTACAGGATAAAAGAAGCTTTAATATGCAGATAAATTACATTTGATATGATAAAGCAGTTCCATGGCATAATGTTGACGTATGTTATTATTGCAAAACTATTGTCATTATTATTCAAGTTGAAATAAAAGAAAATTATTATACACCAGTTTCCTGCTGAAATCTTTTCATACATACTCATCAATGTAAACTGTTAAAAATTCAGACATGAAGCAGAATCATAGACTGAAAATACATTCAACATGTTATTGCCATACCTCATATAAACAATAGTTTGAAAACGTCTGAATGTGTTCAACATGCTCAAAGACTTGAAACTTTTTTAAACATACCGTATTTGACGTAATAAGTGTCCAGGGCGCTCTGAAAATTAGAAATAGGGGCGTCTTATTAGAATATTGTTTTGGTGAAAAAGATCGTAAATTTTGTGGTTTATGCTGACAGCCTGAGATGGTTATGTACGACAGATATATTTTTCCAGAATTTTATTGCCCTTTGATTAAGGGTGCATTTAACACACGAGTGCGTATTATTCATGATTAAATAAGTCTTGTGTACATTGATCAATCGGAAGGGGTGCTAATTGGGATTGTTCACTAGCCAATATATTAGCAAATTTTGCCGTGGGTGCTTATTAGAGCGGGGCGCTTATTACGTCGAATACAGTATAGCTACGTCTCAAGTTCAGTCTCCATGTTTAGATTGTGAAGACAAGGATGAAACTCCATCTGCAGGTCCATGTAAGACCAACAATAAATGTACAAGAACATGGGAGACCACATGCGCCCTCCATTGCTTCACCAGATAACAATCTGCAAAGTTTTGTGTTAAAGAGTTTCTTGTGACTTTGATCGAAATGGCTGGGAGGATTTGTTATATTTCTTTATTTTTTTATTGATTACAATAACCAGTTCTTGGTGTAAATACATCATGGAATGTGTTAAGATAGGTTTTCTCTTTTTTTCAGATGAGTCAGTGAGTTACCATGGCAACATGATTGAAGTTTGTTGACTTGGAGCATCCGTCTAGCTTATTATGTAAGTAATACTCTTTTTTGTGTCTTATGTTATGTGGTGCTTGAGTGTTCAGAAATGTGTGTGATAGATATGTATTGTTTTATCAGTCATACTATTTCCCCAAAAACGTATATTTTGTATATATTTCTGTAATTCATACCTAGATTGATACACGACTATTTTTCTCCTTAATATGTGTGATAAGACGTTACAGCGCACTGGTCACGAATCAGGTGAAGGTGAGCAGCGTTGGTCGTCGAGTAGGTGGATGGGTGTAGTTGTAGAGTGTCATACCAAAAGTTATGGTACTTGTTGTTGCCCTGCCTGGCACTTGTCATTATGGGGCTAAAACAGGGACTCGTCTCGGAGTCAGTGTACTGTGTCTGAGTGGGGTACAGTGATCGCTCGCTATTGCGCTCTTCGATAAAGCGCTACTTCGGTTATTACGCGCGGTAACGCATGGCTCCCAAAATTTATGTACACTTTTAATACTGAGAGTTTTACACAGACATGATTGTATTGTTGTTCGTTGTTTATTTGCACATAACGCTTCTCATTGCATAATCAACGGTTTATCGCTGAATGGAGTTCTAATAATCTGTTTGAAAATATCCGCGGCAAGTCCCGGAAATACGATTGTTCAACTAGTTAACTTTTCACACTATACATCCTTTGATCTTAGAAGCGCATGCATGCAATAAAAGAGAACCACAAGTGAAGTTTATATTCTTAATTAGTGGGCAATCCAATTTAAGGCTAAACTGTCACACAAATGTAGTTGCTGTCACAACACGGCGGTCATTCATTTCGTAATCGTGCTTTCGTAACATCGCCTGTTTTTTCCCCGTAGTTATAACAAGCGATTTCATTGGATTAAAATTTGTTTCTAATGACGCTTTCTTGCCGAAATCTGCTACAAGTTTCGAGATTGGTCAATTTTGAGCACGTGACCTCAGGCAGCCAATCAAGCTTTGATACAAAGCTCGTGTTTGATAAATTTCAGAAGTTAGCGAAAGATTTTTTGTTAAATCGTGTTATTCTGAACGTTTTAAGCAGGAAATCACGATATATATTAAAAATATGGAACTTCGCGAATGTATCGTGCTAGGTTACGAGCTGTGACAAAGATTTTTCATGCATATATTTTTGCATTAAACGTTGTGTCCGAGCCGAGAATTCAAGGCGACGAAAGCCGAGATGTCATTTGACTTACATTACACGCGATCGCACGAAACGATGGAAATAATAACTTAGATGTAAGTTTGATTACTTTTAGATATATTTTTGTTGATTTTATTTATCACTTTGTATAATATATTTAAAGATTTGCTTAAAATAGTCTTTATTTTGCTCTTTGACATGTTCGATGCGGACCCGTTGTCGAAATGTGTGTCCGAGAATTTTATTTTCAATAACATCGCGGGAAATAGTGAATAATTTTTTAATTTATTGATAAAAAATGATAAATTAGAATGGAATACGTATTTCAGACATTGTGAAATATGACAGATTTAATAAATGAATGATATTACAGGTAGATCTAGGTCCATAAAAATATATACTATTTTGACGTGACGTGAGATAAACACATAGGCCTATTGATGATTTGAGATTTGCCGAGCGCGCTCCCCCGCCTCGGCCTCGGTTAAACGGCTCATCGTCTATAACGCCCACCAATTATTTGGACCCCATTGGTAGCGCAATAGCGAGCGATCACTGTATTCATGTTAAACTGCAGCATGGTGCCTCAGTGGGCTAGCACTATAAAATTGGCGTTAGTTCAGGCTAGTACAAGCAAACAGACACACACATATGCATGCACGTTGCTATATAAGTGCAATAATCTTGGACGTGACGTTAAACCCCATTTCACCCGACATTGTGGAATTGAAGGAAAAGTCGGGTTGATCTGATCAGGTTATTTGTCACATTATAAATTTAATCGTTCTGACAGGCTGTTTTATTGGGCATGGGTTCCTTGGATGTGACAGGTCTCAAATCAGTTTTCAACCACAGCTAAGAGATCAATATCATGGTGATATCAGAACATTGTAACAAAAATTTATTCTGTAGGTGTGCACTAATTAAATGGCTACTGTGTGAATTGGCAAGAGAAGTTCTTACTCAATTAATGCCTTTGCACCAAATTCAACCTAATTTCTTCTCCTTAGCAGATCGATGTGCATGGAAATGTTATAAAACATACACTTATTTTCAATGTGATTGATATTTGGTCCTAATAACATTTAGCTATATTACATGTTGGGTTTTATGATGGATTTTTGTGTTTCCCAAAAATGTAAATTTTCAGGAGAAAAGGAAATCTTTAAATTTCTGTGATATATTCCCCTGAATAAGTGTTTGCATGGATTCGTATTATGAATTTCATGTCAAATGTCAAATGCTCTAACCAGTACCTCATTTTGTTAATGCGTTGGCAATTTGGAAGGAAAATGTTTGCAAAGCAAATCACTGAACATGACATCATGGTTAATCAGAGGCTCACATATAGTGACAGGGGATGCCAGGCTCACATTGAATCATGGCCAAAATCCATGTTGTATCACACAGTTGCCTGGCTATACCACCATGTGAATAGTCGTTAAGGAGGACACTAAGATCTTAGGGCAGAATGAATGAATGATGATAGTGATGGTGATGACGATGATGATGATGGTGATGGTCTTGGTGGTGATGTTGGTGGTGATGATAATGGTGAAGGTGGTGGTGATGATGATGATGATGGTGAAGGTGATGATGATGATGGTGGTGGTGGTGGTGGTGGTGGTGGTGGTGGTGATGGTGATGATGATGATGATGATGGTGATGATGATGATGATTATGATGTTGGTAGTGGTGATGGTGATGATGATAGTGATGATGGTGATGATGATGTTGGTGGTGGTGATGGTGGTCGTGATGATGTTGATGGTGGTGATGGTGGTCGTGATGATGTTGATGGTGGTGATGGTGGTCGTGATGATGTTGATGGTGATGGATGTGTAGATGGTGATGGTGGTGGATGTGTAGATGTTGATGGTGGTGGATGTGTAGATGTTGATGGTGGTGGATGTGTAGATGGTGATGGTGATGGATGTGTAGATGTTGATGGTGGTGGATGTGTAGATGTTGATGGTGGTGGATGTGTAGATGTTGATGGTGGTGGATGTGTAGATGGTGATGGTGGTGGATGTGTAGATGGTGATGGTGGTGGATGTGTAGATGGTGATGGTGGTGGATGTGTAGATGGTGATGGTGGTGGATGTGTAGATGGTGATGGTGGTGGATGTGTAGATGGTGATGGTGGTGGATGTGTAGATGTTGATGGTGGTGGATGTGTAGATGTTGATGGTGGTGATGGTGGTCGTGATGATGTTGATGGTGGTGATGGTGGTGGTGATGATGTTGATGGTGATGGATGTGTAGATGGTGATGGTGGTGGTGATGATGTTGATGGTGGTGGATGTGTAGATGTTGATGGTGGTGGATGTGTAGATGTTGATGGTGGTGGATGTGTAGATGTTGATGGTGGTGGATGTGTAGATGGTGATGGTGGTGGATGTGTAGATGGTGATGGTGGTGGATGTGTAGATGGTGATGGTGGTGGATGTGTAGATGGTGATGGTGGTGGATGTGTAGATGGTGATGGTGGTGGATGTGTAGATGTTGATGGTGGTGGATGTGTAGATGTTGATGGTGGTGGATGTGTAGATGGTGATGGTGGTGGTGATGATGTTGATGGTGGTGATGATGATGGCAGTGACGATGAGGATGCGGATGATAGTTTCTCTGTACTGATACTGATCCATAAACTCATATAGAAGATCACACATGGACAAGAGCCTCCTTTGCACATTCACTCAGATCTGCTATACTTAAATGTTGATTCCACAACTACCTTATTATCTTGCTTTTCAGTAATAATCAAATCTTGTACCACCCATGTTACACAGTAAATGGGATCGCAACACTTTTACACATTTTCCAGGGCATCATGATCCTAAGATTTCATGACTTTGTTCCAACTAATAGAGATTTGGTCGATGGAAGTCCATGGGAAGTTCTTCATCGGGGAGGTAACCCCAGCCAGCTCAGAGTTACGAACCCACTGTTATTTGGTATTGTAGGATATCGTTGCTAATATGTCTTGAACAGTTTTTCGTATTAGACTGCAGTAATGAAGTCTCAAGGGGAGACCATCACTCCTTTTTGTCTCATATTCTGAAAGAGATGTTGTGTCTATGCTGATGCATGGTGTAGTGATGCCACTGTTAACATGGACTATGTATCCTCCCAGCAGAAAGTGGGTACCCGGTAGAAAGGGTAACCAGTATGCATGTATTTTGACTCAAAAGTTACTTTCAGCAGATAAATATTTAACACGAGCGTTAAATGATGGAGAAAATTGGGTATTTTACTTCTGAAAATATATCTATTTTATCGTACATGTAATACACATCTTGTCAATATCCCAGCTTCTCTTATAGCGATGAACATCAATACATTTAAACTCGGTCAGCATTAACAATGTTCTGTGTGTCCGATTTGACCATCGGGTCTAATGACGTGTTGGTCATCGATGTAGTCTGTGTTTACACTGTTGATGTAGTCTGTGTTGACGCTGTAGTCACCTACCACCGCAATTATCAGCACCTAGATGTGCCTGCCAGCTACCAGATGATTTGCTTGATTGATTCCGGCACTTGGAGGAAATGGCCAGCCGGATTGGCAGTCAATCCCAGGCCAACTTCATAAATCACCATATAACAGCAATCAGTAAACAGACACGTATGCTCAACCTCTGCCTCCGAAGCCAGGTGGATACACGAAGGTGCTCGATGAAATGTCAGAGTGCACCTGCTCTGACAGATGCCATTGAAGAGATTCAGCCCTGTAATTCAATACTGTTGAACAAAAGGAACATAAGCTATGTTTGGTATTGGGTAGACCTATAATTATCATTGATATACTTTACCAAATATATTTTTCATTGAAAACAAATTCCTCTTGAAAAAGCATTT